GTGCCGGAGCCCTTGTACCGCCCGTCTGCGTTACAGCCTTACCAGACAGCCTGAACTACAAATGTTTCCATAATTATTCTTTTTATTATTTTTTTTCTGTTTGGTTTGTTTGCTCGGGATTTTAGTTTAGTTTTGTTCCTTGGCTTTGCTTTTTGGGGGTTTGTTTGTGAGTGTGTTTGCTGGAGCTTCCAAGGCAAAAGAGGTCAGGACTCAGACACCCCCTGTTCCCCAAACCCTTCACGCTTTCTGCCTGCAAGGGCCCGACTTTCGCTGGTCCTGGCGGGAGACCTCACGGGCCACAGAGGGGAGGGAGGGTCTGCTGAGTAAATAACTACAGTGGAAGGATCTTTGGGCGCAGCCTCTGGTGTTTGGGGCTTTTTTCTCTCCCCCAAGGGCTGGTGTGTCACAGCAGTTGCACAGAAACAGGCAGGTGCTTCTCGCAGCTGGCAGAAGCAGGTCGACGTTGTAAAGGGCTTCTTGCAGTGAGACCTCTAGATGTTAGAATCTTAAATCCTGGGGGTTAGGGCATCCCTGTCCTCCCTCCACCCCCAAAACCAGCACCCACTTGTTCCCCCACTGCTGCTGCTGCCAAGTCTGCGCTGCCGCTACGCTTCATTTTCCTGTGAACTGCCCCTTTGAACCCTCCCCTTCATCCAGGGCTGTGGTGTCAAATTTAATCTTCTGGCGATCTTTCCAAAGGTTTTCACCTGCTTTTGTCCCTCTCCTCTTCTACCCCCTCACCAAAGTCTGTGTTGTTTCTGTCCTCCCTGCTCCGCCTTTTGTTTTCAGCGTGTCTCTGCTTTGCTGGAGTCTTTAAACACATCTTGGCTTCCTTTCACCCCGTTCCAGCACACCTCTGAAACACGCTTTCCGTGGTGAGTCAAGTCAGCTTCGACGCGCAGTGCTCAAACCCAGCAGTTTCTGCTCTCTGAACCTTGCTTTCGTGCCCACCCCTAATATTAAGTCCTGTAAACCAGGGAGCATCCCAAAGGGTGTGAAAAGGCGTAAGGGCTTCTGCAGCTAATTCCTGGGTTTTGTATGTCTATAGACACCCTTGCCCATGCTGTCTGACAGCAGATCTGTATTTTGCCAAGCTATTTTAAGAAGGTAGGTTTAATGTGATTTTAAGTGCTCTACATTTTCTTTTAAAATAATTTGGTCTTGCTCTTGCTTCCCTGAACAGACAACAAAGTTTACCAGTGCGTTGGATATACCTGTGGAGTTTGTCAAAAAGAATGTGAAATTGCGGGGAGAGCTCCATCACGTAACTGCGGAAGGCCTGGCAGTTGAACACATTCCCATTAGCATTCCTTTCCTTACGTCCCTACAGAGAAAATGTAAGTGAGAGCATGTGAAGAACAAGGGCAGGAGTGAAACGTTGTTCTTAGTGTGGCTTCAGGGGAAGAGGACAAGTGTGAGGAAGGGACAGTTGTGGCTCTGCTTTTCATCTTTCCATAATTTACAGGTGGGAAGCTGGGGAATGAGAGACCTACCTGTAAAAATGGCTCGCCAATACAGTATTTATATTAATTAGCATCATTTGGGGGATTTTTTTTTTCTGGCAGCAAAAGCTAGTACGCGGGCAGTTCGTTCGCTTGTGTGGCTCCTCTCCCTCCTGGCAGAAAGACTCTCCTGGGATTCATCTTCTACTTACAGGGGAAGATCCAGCAGCCACGAGCCCATTCTTAGGGACAGCTTTTCTGTGATTTCACAGAAGCTGTCCCTCAAGTCTGTGAGTCACACTCTTCCTTTGCAAATAAATACCTGCAGGCCTCGGTGCTTCCTGCCGATTGTTTCAGATAAATTGATGGCGACTGATAATGAAAGTGGTTCTTTCTATTTATATGCAAAATCAAAACAAAATAGCTTAAATCACGTATGCAATCTTGAATTTATTTTTTTTTTAACGGAAGGAGAGATGAGACCAAATTCTTACTTATGAATAAATAGTGCTTTGGGGAACTTGAGTGGATTGCTTTTCTTTTTCTTTTTTTTTTTTCAAACCATGGGAATAAATTCATTACCTCCAGCTGAGGGGGCTGTGCAAAGCATGAATTTCCTTTGCTGCATTCAGTAACAAAGTCTTCTTTTACTACAACCAGGGCAATCGAAAGGTCTTCTGCTGGTGAGGCTGGCTGGGGTGGAGCTGGCTCCGAGCGGGGTGGCCTGGCTGCAGCAGGAGCTGAAACCCAAACAGGTGATGTGGTTCCAGCTTCTCGGAAGGGAGGACTTGACACTCGAGTGCCTTGTGCTAGTAAATAAGGTAAATACTGTGACCAAAATTAACTTTTATCTGCAGTTTTGAGTTTGATCATGCCGAAGTGGTTATCTCAGTACATTTAAGGACTGTTATTTATCATTGAGCATTTCCTGCGCCTTTTTATAGGGTCGGTTTCTCAGCGTGTGCTTAAACGAAGAGATCCTGAGACGAGGGCTTGGCAGGACAGCGCGCATCGAAGGGCTGCATCATCATTCCCGCCTGTACTGGAAACTTCACAGAAAACTCCTTCAAGCAGAGGTTAAGGCCTTGAAGAAAAAGAAAGGAATATGGCAAGAGGAAAGCTACTCTGAAAGGATTAGAGATCGTTTGAGCAACAGTAGATTTGTACAGACATTGAAGCAGTTTGGGGTCTGGTTAAGAAGCTCTATATAAAGGTGAAAAGGGAGACCTGTCTGCAGGAACGCCCGTTACTTCCGTTACGTGCTTTATGTAAAATGGTAGTTTATGATAAAAGAATCAGTGCCATCATTTTGAGGGTCGCTCCTGAAAAAAAACCCAAAACAACAAACCAAACCCCTGAAGTTTCCTCTCTTATAACCCACGTGGGATTGAACCTCAGTAGTGGGATGCAAGCCACGAGTTAAAACCTTCTGAAGCTGCACTGTTCCACAGCAACATCTGTCATCCGTTGCCCCGTTTTCCACCTGCTGAGTAGCTGCACACTGAGTTAACTCGCTAGTGGAGGCGGTCGGCAGAGCAGTTATTGAGAGGGGCAGCGTTAGTTCACAGCGAACAGCCTTAAACATTAGAAAACCGCATTTCAGACCTTTAGGCGGTGCCTGGTGTGTGTTTACGCAGGAGCGTTTTGCTCGAATTCTGTTCTTCCACTACTTTTTTTTTTTTTCTGTAGAGCTTGTGTTTTAAAAATCTTTCATCTTGAACAATGGGTCGCATTGTTACCGGTATAGAAGGTGATTTGTTACGGCTCATCCTGAAAAGCTGGTGAGGTCCTAACAACTGAAGTTTTTTGGGAAGGAAAAAAATGAATCACTGGGTATATCAAAGAATATAAATTAATAAGTCAGGGATCCAGATTTTTAGACGATAACATTCAGTTGAACAGGAAAAACGCTGTTTTTACTGGTGGTTCTATAAATATGTAAAATCAGATGAAAATAAAACTTGACATGAAATTTGAAAAGCTGGACCATACCGTGCTAAGACCTTAAATTCTCATTTGTGTTTTATTCTTGAAATACAGGCTAAGTATATGGGAGTGTGTTATTTATTTTGTAAATATTCTCAGAATAAAGATTGATTTTTTTATGTTCGTTGTTACATGTTTTATATACCAAGCACTTGACCTTTGCTTAACCTCTGACAGTCCCAATATTTATTTAAAGTGTTTTCCAGATTTTCTTTCTTTCTGTGTGATTCCTTGCCAGTCGAATTCTGGGGAGAAGAGTGCAATACAAAAAAAATCTGAATAGCTGAGCCTTGCTTATCTGCCAGTTGCTGACTTCAGGGCACAACTGTGAATCCTAAGATCATGAAAAAAAAAAAAAGACGGCTTTTCCTCGGGTAAGAAGAGATGTCAGTGTTTCTTTAGCCCCAAACGACAAATTCAGTCTCGGCAGTAATCCACTTCTCATGGGGGTTTATAGGTGTTCCTGTTCCCACATCTGCTAAGTAGAGAGTTTTTCAAAACTGAGCTTAACTGTAGAGTTAGGATGGTTGTGGGTTTTTTTTCTGTAATAAATATCATTCTACCTGGACTTCGCGCTTTTATTTTATGAATGAGTCATAGGAAGACTGTAAAACTGAAAGAAAAATTTCAAGAAACTGCATTCTAGCAAGCAGAGGTGAGGTGTGGGCAAGTATGAGCTAAGTTTCTTCCCTGAGAGGGGTTTTTTTAGCCCTTTTTACCCTTAATGAAGATTTTTCTATTCTTCCTAAATTATGGCAAATGGCTGTATCCTTTTTGTAGGTTGTAGCTTATAAGGATTTTTAGAAGTTGGCAATACAGCTGTCTTATCACATGGAGGAAGCCTCCCCTTAGTCTAAACTAAATCACTTCTCTGTACTGGTGTCCAAGTCTAACAATTTCAGGATGAACTACGGAGAGGAGTATCTAAATCTTTGAATTCGGGCCTCTGATCTCCTTTCACAAGGAGTTTTGGTGATGTGTTGTTGCTCAGGATACAAACCCAGGAAAGCAGAGAGTAACGGAGCGGTGTAAGATTTGGGATTGCAGCGACAAGAGGGTCAACTCCTGTAATTGTTTGTTAATGCTGTTTTCCTTATCCTGCAGGGCTTATCTGTTTTGAAAAAAAAAACCCAACAATACACCCTTCCCCCTCAAAAGCAGCACAACTCAGTTCAAAGCTGTGCTTTCCATCTGTGCGAGGCTTGAGAGGTTGCAGATCTTGTCTCCGTGGGAGGCCTGTCTATTGAAAAACCGGTAAGAGGAGTAGAGACTAATGGCTCTGCAGAACCGAGCTGGGGAGCCGGCTGGGAGGTCGGGGGAGAAAAACCATTTTTCTCCATTATGGAAAACCACCCCACACTGTCTCGGAGGAGCAGTGTCCCGTTCCTTTAGCCGCAGCAGCAGGGCACGCAGGAGGTATTTTCCAAGCAGAGAATGCAGTTCTCGTGTGACTGGGGATGAGAGTAAGGACAAGAATTAAACAGTTCAGCTCTCGTGCCTTGGACCTGCAGCTCTGAAGACGCAGAGTGATGCAACATTTTAAAAGGGTCATGGGGAGTGAACGGGGATGCCTCCAAATGGCCGGCTAAGAAAAATAACCTCCAGCGTGGCGCGGGCTCTTTATTGCTGGCATGGCAAATGGTTGTCATAAACACGATCAGCCTTCCTGTGAGCCCGCTTGACAGCGGTGGGCACGGCACTGCCGGCA